AAGTCCCTCCATTACTCTTTCTCTCTTATCTTGTTTTATTTTTCACCACTTGACATATAATTGTTTGTTTACTGTCAGTCTCTCCTTCCCTATGAGAAAACGGGCCAAGAATAGTGCCTGGTACATGGCACTAGTTCTGTAAAAACTTGCCAAATAAACATGTGTCAACAAGATTATGCACTGGTGTTTCATCAAAGCACTAACTCAAAATATTGAATTTTTCCCTTTTATTTTTCCACAATGGAAAATGAGTTTGACAAACAAACAAACAAAACCTCATTGACACAGAACACAGTATGGTGGTTACCAGAGGGGAAGAGAGGTGGGGAGAAGTTGAAGGCAGTCAAATATATGGTGACGGGAGGAGACTAAACTTTGGATCGTGAGCACACACTACAATATACAGATGATGTATTATAGAATTGTACACTTGAAACTTACATAAACTTATTAACCAGTTTCACCCCAATACATTTAATTTAAAAAAATAAAATGAGTTTGAGAAAGGGTAGAATAGTTGCTTTGAGCTCAGATATTGCAGTATAATTTTATTACTGTCACTAGAAGTGAATTTGTTCTTAGAGTAGAGTTATGAATTGACTGATTTTAACTGGAGCAACTGTTAATTTTTTTTATAAAGCCTAATTATCTAACCTAAATAAAATATAATTCAAAATTAAAACATTAAAAGGTTCACTTCAGTAGGACCTTTTGGTGAAGAGTGGTTATATTTAGTTTAAGAAGCAGTTTATTAGTACAAATACTAAATTTTTATCATAAAAATGTATCACCCATTATTTTTCCAGATGGCACAACAGAATGCATTTGAAAGTGTTTCAAATTTTCGGAAAAAAAATGTTTTCTAAAAATATTAGCAAAACAGCTTAATAAATATAAAATAAATATATAAATATCCTCAAAAGCATTTAATGGATAGCAACATTTTCATATATGCTGTCACACCAAGAATTGGAAGTATTATAGATGTGCTGCCTTAAAAATTACAAAGTCAATTGCTGGACAATTCATTCCTACAGTCATATCTGCTTAGGAGGAAACAAATATTTTTAAGAGTTCAATACAGCCCTGACCGGTTTGGCTCAGTGGATAGAGCGTCCGCCTGCAGACTCAAGGGTCCCAGGTTCGATTCCGGTCAAGGGCATGTACCTTAGTTGCGGGCACATTCCCAGTGGGGTGTGAGGAGGCAGCAGCTGATCTGATGTTTCTAGCTCTCTATCCCTCTCCCTTCCTCTCTGTAAAAAATCAATAAAATATATTTAAAAAAAAAAGAGTTCAATACAACTATCGGGAGTGGCTTTAAATTGTTAAATGAACAGTTTTAAAAACAGACACCCAAGGACTTCTCTGAGGATTGACACAGGCCAAATTCTATTACAGACTCCAAGACACCATTCAATTCTTTTGTACTATTATTTTGTTGTAGCGGCTATAGATCCCATTGAGCAGGATATGACCTGATCTGGGGAATCTTTTTGTTCCGGACATAGTGCTTAGTTTCATGAGATTCAGGCTTCACAAAACAAATGATGTCGCCATTTTCATCAATGGATAATGAAGTGAGAAAAGTAAGGGCAATGGTACACACATACTCACATACACACAAATTGTACGCATACTGTATACTCACACACACCAGAGAAATGAATGTTCATAAATCTTATAGCTGTCAATTTCTCTCTCTTTGGAAGTCTGCTTTATTTCTAAAAAAGGCTGTGTTTTTCCTAGTTTGTTTGTTTTTTTAAATACTAAAATGTCCTTTTATTTATGAAGTGACGGTGATAGTTGTTGGTAGTTGGTGTTTTAAGATGCTGACAACCTTGCCTTGCCAGGTGGTTCAGTTGGTTGTAGCATTGTTCTGTACACTAAAAGGCTGCAGGTTCGATTCCTGGTCAGGGCACATACCTAGGTTCTGAGTTCGATCCCTAGTTGGGTTACTTATGGGAGGCAACGATCGATGTTCCTCTCTCACATCAATGTTTCTCTCTCTCTCTCTCTCACTCTCTCTCTCTCTCCATCCACCCCCCACTTCCTCTCTCTCTCAAATAAATTGAAAAAATAAACACATATCCTTGGCTGAGGATTAAAATGCTGACAACCCTATCCCAATCTGTAAAAATAACAATAACAAAAAAAATTTTTTTGAAACATTACTGGTCCATGAAATCCAAATATCCACAAACGACGACTTTCTAAAACAAACAAACAAAACACTTGACTAGCTTCCCTTTTTTTATAGGAGAAAGCCAAACTCCTTAGCCTGGCTTTCAAAGTCCTCTACATCTGATCTTGACCGATCCTTCTAGCTTTCCTTATCGTAATGGGAGCAGCCAGGTGATCAGCACCTGCCTGTCCTCACCTGCTTGGCTAAGGTCACTGGAGTACCTTCAGCCTTAGTCCTCCTGGTTCCTAGTTCCTGACCTCACCAGGGGTCATTTAAAGCCCCAGCTCTGTGAAGGATATTCAAAGAACACCTAGGAACTTAAACTCACCGAGTCACTGAGCTGCAGCCTTTCCCTGGGCCCAGGGAACTGTGGTTTGCTCACAGCTCGGTACTCCTCCTTCCCATGGGCACTTAAGCCCTGCCTTCAATTCCAGTTCAGTGAGACCCTAAAACACTTGCCGCTCTCCCCTCTCTCTCACCAATTTCCTGTTCTCAGGGCTACAACACCTGCCCTGGAGTCAGGCTCCAATCCCCAAAGGCCGGCTGGGACTCAGGTGCAGCCATGTGCTAGCCATCACATCCCAGGGCCAGACCTGTGTTCCCAGGAAAATGCTCCCACTCCCTCCCACTGGACCCTGGCTTCCTTTCCGTCCCTTCTCTACCTGGCCTGTTAGCACCCAGCAGGCATCTTGGCCAAGCCTGGAGTTATTAATTGTGTCCCTCAATATACCGCTTTCCACTTACACACCTTCTCCCTGGATAGACTGTTTGCCCCAAACACTTTCTTTCTCATTCCATGCTTCCCTAAGCATCTCAAAATCTAGCTTAAACATGCCTCCTAACACTTTGTTTTCATTATTCAACAAACAGAGGGTTCTTGCCAGGCATGGAGACACCAGGTGAATGGCACAGGCCTGCCCATTAGGAACCCAGCCTACCCTGAGTGAGAGTTGAGAAGAAATTACTTCCCATCCACAAGTTAACGTCTGAAAGTGCGTACAACTTGATGTACACATGTGTTAGGCACAATGGGGCTCTATAAGTAGTTACTGAGAAAATAAATGGAAAAACGTGACTTTATTCAACATACCCTCAATTCACTTATTCAGCAAATATTTAGAAAGTACCCATTATGTGTTAGGGCTATCACAGAATTCTGAAGTTAGGGCTTAAAGGGACAGTCTCTATAGAAATCTAGTCCCATCGCCTCATACAGATAGAGGAGTCTACATCTGTGCACTTGGTTTTGGAGAGTGGGGTGCTGCACACTTTGAAAGCAGGCTCCTGTGCTCTACCCTTCGGGCACATCGATATTCAGTTATTCAAGAGAACACCTCTGACTCCCTAACTGGTTGGCAACACCTCCCCTTCCCAAGAGCTTATTTTCTAAACCCTTTTTGTAAAACCCAGCAAGAAGACTTATTGGAGGCCTACTAAACGCCAAGTAGTTGATACAGAGATACAGAGGCGAGGTCCCCATTCTGGAGGAACTCAGTTAATTAAGGGAGCCACACCTGTAAACACCATATTGCTAAAGAGAGGGGAGAGATTTCAGAGGCATCACAGGTGATCTTCAGAGTCAGGAAAAGACTCTCTCTCCACTAGAAAGAAATGTTCCTTTTCTTTGGAGTAAAGGAACCCTTTGAAATGCAATCATCACCTTCTCCTCTAGGAAAGCCTGAGAAAGAGAAAAACTGTCCACTGGCCCAAGAGAATGGGGAGAACCTCTCCCTGTGTAGGGAGGGTGGGGAAGGGCAGAGGGGCCCAGGCGGTGAACACTGCTGTTCTCACCCCTCCGAGGGGAGCACTTCCGGAAGAGGGGTGATTGGAAGTGTTTTCTCAGAACAGACAACATCCAGGTAAAGAACATCCTAAACCGAAAGAAGCAAGTGTTCCCAGTACCTACTCACTCTATTTTATCCAAAGCCTGCTGCTGCCCATTCGGGATCCTTATCCAGAGATAACCCCACATACTCAATTTGTGGGGGAAAAAAGAGTTTTCTTAGAGAGGCCTGGAGAAATGGAGAAGCAGGAAAAAGAGAAAATCCCGAGTATTCCATCATCTCCCCCAAAGTTGCTCTTTCCTTGTCATAGAGTCAGTCCACAGGTCAGCACACAGGCGTTAACCATTTAAAACCAGGTTAACCCCCACCACATTCATTACATGTCACGGTTTACCTTGCAGTGTGGGTTCATCTCCACAGAAATTCAGAGAAGAAGCATCTTTCCATTAGAGGGAAAAAATAGTTTTAGCTTGTAATAAACAACTCCCCCTCCCCCGTTTGAAATCATGGTCTCTCAGGGTTCATGAATAAACATTTCAAAAGTGATCATTCCACTTTTTTGAGAAGAATCCTTCTTCTCAAGGCAGGACAACATAATGGTTCAGCAGTAGATAAATGTGAGGGGTAAGGAGAACCTGTCAGCTTCCTGACAATTTGGAAACAGGTGAATGATCAATTCTCTTCATGCACTAAGATCCTCAACAGAAGTCAGCCTGGGAGTGTAAAAGCCATGAATGCTAAACAATGTGGTACGTTCTTGTGCTCTCAATCACAGTTGATGGCCCTTGAAGGACCAGCTCTATAGGTGACATGGGAGAGAAGCTACTGGGAAGGAAAATAAAATACCCCCCAGCATCTCTGAAAGTGAGTACCACCTTGCCCACCTCTGCTTTCTAGCTCCTTATATAACTGGTGCCTTGTACACAGACGTCCCATTTGTGTCAAAAGGCCATGAAGGAAGGAGATGTAACCACATCTCAAGGCCACTGATTTTTTTTTTTTTATCCCTGAAAATACTTGAAAGAACCCATTACCTTGAGCATGCGGATTTCGCGAAGGGCGATTTTCTTGATGACCGGGTCATCTTCTGATTCCAGAAACCTCTTGATGGCCACAACCTGGCCCGTGTCCCTGCTTCTGCATTTGAAAACAACGCCGTAGGATCCTTCACCAATTTTCCCAATTTTTTCATACTTCTCCATCACAGAGGAATGAACCTTCTTAAAGTGGGTCTTCACATAGTTTGCAAGTGTCGCTTAAAGAAGACTGGCGCACACCGACTGCCCGGGGCCCGCTCCGGACGCGCCTGTGCGGGACCTGGAGGAACAAGCACCTGTTCGGAGTTAGGACCTGACCGCTTTGAAGCCGCGCCCCTCGGCAGTGGCCACGTGCCCGAAGGACAGCCCGGGGTCGGGCAACCCACTGTTCTCTGACATATGCCCTGCGAGTGACAATGGAACCCCGCACCCTAAAACGAGCCGAGCTGTAAGAGAATCTATCTTTTTCGTGTTATAGTTCATCCGATCTAAGACACACGAGCTGGCTAAGGGCTTCCCCCGGTTCTAATTTCGGGTCTGATTTCCCTGCAGCAAAAGACACCGC